AAGGGTTTATAGCAGCAAGCCACGCGACAGGGATCAGAGCATCCGAGAAGCAACAAGCAAACCGCTCTGAAGGGGCTGCAGTACATGAGGCACAGGGAGCAAGCCGTTCGAAAGGGACTAGGGTAGGGACTGGAGTAGAGTATTTGACCGCTCGAAAAGGGATGAGAGTACTGTGCAAACAATGAGCAAACCGCTCGAAAACTACTAGAGTCACTAGAGTACCGGAGAAACCTGGGAGCAAATCGCTTGAAAAGGACTAGAGCATTTGAGAAACACGGACCAGACCGCTCGACAAGGAGTAAAGGATTTGAGAAGCCTGGAAGCAAGCCGCTAGAAAGCGGACTAGAGTATCTGAGAGTCAGGGAGTAAACCGTTTCAAAGAAACTTGAAGATTTGAGAAGCAGGGGGCAAGCCGCTCGAAAGGAACTAGAGTGTTTGAGAAACGGGGGACAAACGGCTCGAAAGTGAAAGGGGTATCCGAGAAACGGAGCAAGCCGCTCGAAATGGACTCGAGCATTTGAGAAACACAGACCAAGCCGCTCGCAAAGGAGTACAGTAGTAGATAAGCCAGGAAGCAAGCCGCTCGAAAGCGGACTAGAGTATTTGAGAACCAGGGAGCACACCACGAGAGTAGGATAGTTGAGAAACAGGGAATGAACCGCTCGAAAGGGACTAGAGTGTTTGAGAAAGATCGAGCAAATCACTTGCAAGGGAGTGACTAGAGTATTTCAGAAACAGAGACCAAGCCGTTCGAAAGCGACTAGTTTATGTGAGAATCCGGGGAGCCAACCGCCCGGAAGGGACTAGAGTGTTTGAGAAACAAACGGCATACCGCTCGAAAGGAACTGGAGTGTTAGAGAAACAAGGAGCAAACTGCTTGGAAGGGACTAGTGTATCTGAAGAACAAGGGGCAAGCCGCTCGAAAGGGACTAGGGCGTTTGAGAAACAAGGCGGGAACCGCTCGACAGAGTGGATTGTTCTTGAGAAGCAGGGAGCCAAACCAGTTTCAAAGGACAAAAGTCTTGGAGAAAAAGGGAAGAAACCGCTCGACGGGGATTGGAGTATGTGAGAAACAGGGAGCCAAGCATTCAGAAGGGTTTATAGCAGCAAGCCACGCGGCAGGGATCAGAGCATCCGAGAAACAACAAGCAAACCACTCGAAAGGGGCTGCAGTACATGAGGCACAGGGAGCAAGCCGTTCGAAAGAGACTAGGGTAGGGACGGGAGTGACTGGAGTAGAGTGTTTGACCGCTCGAAAAGGGATCATATTGGAGTGTTTAAGAAACAGGGAGCAAGCCGTGCGAAATAGACTCGAGTGTTTGAGAAACACCTCGAAAAGGAGTAAAAGATTTGATAAACCAGGAAACAACCCGCTCGAAAACGGACTGGGGTATATCAGAATCAGGGAGCAAACCGCTCGAAAGGGACTAGAGTATATGAGAAACAGGGAGCAAACTTTCAGAAAGGGACCAGGGTGGAGTAGCTGAAAAACAGTGAATGAACCGCTCGAAAGGGACTATAGAGTGTTTGAGACTCAGGGAGCAAGCCGCTCGACCGCTCGAAAGGGACTAGAGTGTATTTGAGAATCGGGTAGCAAACCGCTCCGAAAGCGACTAGAGTATTTGATAAACAAGCAGCAAACAGCTCGAAAGTTACCGGAGTATTTGAGAAGCAAGGAGCGCACCGCTTGAAAGGGACTAGAGTGTTTGAGAAACAGGGAGCAAACCGCTCGAAGGGGATTAGAGTATTTGAAGAAGCAGCGAACAAAGCGCTTGAAAGGGACTGATTCGAATGGTTGAGAAACAGGGAGCAAGCCGCTCGAAGCGGAACAAAGCCCTCGAAAGGAATGAATTAAAAATGTTGGAGAAACAAGGAGCAAACCACTCGAAAGGGATTAGAATATTTGATCGAGGTGCTGGATCAGAAGGCGCCCCGATCGAGCGTCCGAGGTGCGGATCCTGGGACAATGCGGAATCTGTTTCCTGGAGCATGCTTGTAAATCGGGGCGTTGAGTGCCGGAGTGCCCCCGGCTCCTCCGAAAAAATTGCCAGAGGTTGGCCTTGTGAAGTTTGATGACGGCTTGGCTTGATTGAGTTTCACGGGCAAGCTTGCTTGGTCGAAAAGTGGTGGATACTGTTCGACAGTGGAGCTTGTGCAAACTCTTGACCGGAATGGTTTGCACCGGAATATCCTGCGCTGCACTTGAATTAGAGACTTTGTCTGGAAAAACATTGGATGTGCCCTTCCGGAAGACTGTGCAGATTGAATGTAGCCATGGTCATTCCTTGAATGGACAGTTCTACGTGTGCACTGGGATGCCGTTTCCACTGGTCAGTGTTGCCGATTGTTGTTGCAGGTCTGTTGGACCGTAGAGGCCCAAGACTATCTTGCCTTGATTATCCTTGATTGACTCGATTGGCAACCCTCTTTCGATTGTGCGACAGGTTACATTGGTGTACCTGACACCGCCTGTTTTTTCTGCATGCCGATTTAGATTCAGCGAATTATGTGACTGGCGTGTTGTCGGGAACGGAGCACCAGCTTGGTGCATTGGTGACTTGTTGGACGGGTCGGATTTGCATGACAGCCCGCTCGACTAGCTTCAGCAATTTGGACATACGCGTGGGAAGTGAATGAGCCACAGTTGACCCAATGACCCGAAAGAATGGAAGGGCCGAGTGGTTCTGTTCATTGCACCACAAGCCGCAGCTGAGGCATGTGAAGAGGAGTTAGTTCAGACATTGAAATTTTCAGATTGGCAAGCCAAAGCCTAAAACAGCGCGGCGCGCGCCAAACTACTTGGGGGCAAGACAAAACGGAAGAGCCAACTGATTGACCTTCCCTTTGACAACTGTTTATGTCCGAAACCATGAACCTCTCTGACGCTACGATCTGCGGTCGTCGCCAATCTAATATACTTGTATTCCTGTGATCCTAAAGTCCGCCATCTTGTTGCATCGTTCGAGGAGCCGTCATCTCGCTAAAGCATCGCCCGGGCGAGAACCACAAGCGGTCGCATGTACATTTCGATGGGAATGAAAGGAAGCATCTTCCTGTTCCCGCTGGCTCAGACCCAGTGCGGCACCAAAAACAGGCGTATTGGCAGTGCTTCGTAGCGCTCGCGATAGCTTGAATCAATCATTGAAAGCTGCGCAGCATTGTTTAGATCGAAGCTATTTCATCGATGCCGCGTTCGAGTGCTGACTTGTGGGATGGTGGTGATTTCGTTCAATCCAAGCTGCAGCTTCGGTTGATGTCACACCTTCAGATGCTTCGGGAATCATTTGTTTGGAACTGCTTGTTGGTGAAGAGTGTACGAATTTGTATCTTGGTACGTGACAGTCTTGCCAGGACCGACAGACTCGGATGGTAAGCACTCGTTGTACTTGTCGAGATACATGCTACTCCCCCTCTTTTAGAGATTTGGCAAGCCAAGAAGTATTGCTTTGTTCGAACGTCCGAGTGTTTAGGGTTGGCGCAGGCCAGATGGAAAAAGGTCACAAGAACCGCGCGCCACAAGCGTTTGGAAAGTACTGAATCGTGAAAGGCTTCTATAGTCCGCGGGAATCATGTGGAATCATGTTGCCAGATGATACTAATAAGGTGTTCTAGGCAGGCTTCCCAACGAATGGCGGCACCGAGCCAGGGAGTTGAGAACCAAATCCGATCAAACCGAGTCGGTAGCTTGCGGCCTTTGCTTTACCCCCGGCTCCGAGGCCAAAGCTGGGAAGGCGAAGGCAGACGGCCGAGACACTACATTCTGCATCTAAGTGACATTGTACGTATCATTATCCTGACCCACGGAATCTGCAGCAAGTTACTTGTGGTCTCGAAACGCTTGCGGGTTTTGGCAATGTGTGTACCATTTAGCCGGGGTTGTGTTGGTGTGGCTCCTGTATTATCCAGATGTGGAAAGCCCCCTTGTGCAAGCGGCTCGCTTCCTATCGGCAAATGACATCAGGGATGCGTCGAACGGTCCAGTCAGTCCAGTCCATCCGGGAGCCTTGCATGCGAATTTGGTTTGTCAGGTGCGAGCGAAAGCCGGTGTGAAGAAAATCAGGCGTGAGAAGTGGAGTACTCTTGACGGCTACCACTATAATTATGTCCCACGACACATGCAATGCCGCCGACGACGGCGAAGTAACACCGGAGGGAACCATAAACAACAGACAGTCAAGATCGATGACTATGGAGTTATCATGGCGGCGGCAACACGTGGCAGCAGCGGCGGCGGCAAACATAAGAATTGAAGAGCATCCTGGTCTCGATGACATAAAGCGCACACCCGCAGGAAGACTTGTAGTACAATGCAGGTAGTGTCAAAATGTGGGTGTACCATACGTTACACAGATGTTCGACACAACGCGATGTACTGATACAGGGCCTGCTGGGTTACAGGAGGATCGCCTTTACGATGCGGGATGTGCAAGTTTAGGACAGCTGGCTGGTGCGAGTCTCTTGTACTAAAATTCTCTGGGAGTGCCTACGACGTGGGTGCCGTTGGAAGAGCCGCGAAGACGCGAAGCGGAAGAGTCCGAAGGGTTGCAGGTGGCAGAATGACAGGGACTGGGCAGCATGCACTTTCGGAACACCGACCCTGTCATGCAGAAATCCCATACTCGAAGCTTTCACCTGTGTTGGTGAGGCCAGGCAGAAGCAATTGGAAATGCAAGGGTGGCACACCACCACCACATGCAGTTTAACCGGTCAGAGATATCAGCACACGAGTGCACAGAAGGGCACGGCGCAAGAGTCAGACGTTGGCACGATCCATGATGTGGCTTCATGCCGAGTCATGACCTGAACTAATACATAGTTCCTGCGCCATTCCCAAGAACTTGTTTTCCGAATAGCTACGAATCCCGTGAGGTGACTGTCGGTGACTGACTAACTAGCAGGCCTGTCCAGGATAGTCTGAGGGTGAGGCCGGAGAAGTACAAAGTGGAGAACGGCATGCACCAAGGGGAGGGACGTTATGTTGCCCAAATGAAAGATCTTTGGCATTTAGGGTCTGGCCTCAGCTGAGGGCGCCTGGCAGGTCAAGCATCCATCCAAAGACCGAGAAGGTGAAGAAGGTGAAGCGTTTGAGAAAGGTGCGAGGTGAGGACCCAGTTCTTATCGCAGTGCTTGTGTTCGAAATCGTGACATCCATGTAATTCTCGTTTTCTCGATTTGCAAAGCTCCTTCCCTCTGCTTCTGCGCAGATCCATTTCATGGGCCCAAGGCATTATAGATAATTTCACCTCCAGATAGTCAGTACCAGCTGCCCGATGCGGCCAACTTTTGCTTGGGTGGTCTTCCATGGTTGGCTTTGGCAGTGCGATGGCACTGGGTCAGGAAGCGGGCCCGCTGAAACACGACTTGACCAGGTGTGGCACTGCACAGATAAAGCATGCAAACACTGTATCAGAATGTTTGTCTGTATGTACGTATGTATTTATGCATGTATGTATGTATGCAGGTGCATGTACTACTGTACATTTGTACGTACATGTATGCCTGATTGTCCGTTTGTGCTCACAAGGGGGCGCTAAGAACAAGACATGAACGTCTGTGTGTCCTTGAGCAACTGCTGAAATATCAAGCATATTCTGCTGGACCTGGTGTTTTCGCCAAATCACATCATTGTCCATCCCTTTCAGGTAGCAACCTTTGTCGAACCAGATGCCTGTGCTGCATCTGCCTGCTGCAGCTCCTTCGTGCAAAAGGCTGAGGCTGAGGCAGGGACTCCCTGGAGCGTTCTTTCGACACTCGTTCGCCCACAAGTTGATGTGCAGAACCTTGCTAAGAGGAGCACACGTCTCCTGAAAGAAGGCTACGAAGGGACAAACTGCACACGTCTTCGCTATGTGAACAAGTGTAGGGGGTGCACTCAGAATAGTGAGAACACAAACCAGGTCTTCCAAAGCGAGGACCCAACACAGCAAAGGGATGAACGACTGTCCCTCCGCTTTCTTTATTATGCCTTGCAAGCAAGCTTGCTATCAAGAACCTCATGTCGTCAAAACGAGGTGCATACGGACAGTTCATGGGACTGATGCGAGGGCGCGCTTTGGAATGTTCCCATATGCTTTCCGGATCCTGTGAATCTCCAAGGAAAGGAAAGCGCTTATTCTGCCAAAGATTTTCGGTTTTTCCGAACAGCCACAATTACTGCATTGCTAAGGTTTCGAAAGAAATGAAATCCCCCTGCGTTAGCAAAGCAAAACTCCACCGCTTTGCTTCCTGGGCCCGAGCAGGAACACAAGACGCTTTCAACAAGCGGGACCTGGTACTTCTCCCACAGTGGCACCGAAGAGTCAGTGACAGCAATCGTGCCAGCAGAAACGGTGCTGGCCTCCACACCAGCTGTTGTGCACGGGTGGTGCATGAAATGGAAGGAAACAGCAAGTGGCACCAAGCCATATTTGGACCAGGCGAGCTCGGAAAGGACTTGCGCCCGCGGAACAGCATACATGCTGAGCGAACCAGGTGCACGACTCTATGAGACGTTTTGGACGGGACCTGCGCAACCACTTGCAGATCCACAGAGTCTGAGCTTCACAGCACCATCCGGCCAGATTCTGAAGGCGACAGTGCTGGTGCCAAAGCTTCCGCTGACAGAGGAGGCTCCGCAGTACTTCTCTGCTATTTGGTTTGAGGCTTGCGAGGAGGAAGAGTTTTCTACAATGAGCAGCTAGGCCACAGACGTTTGACTTTGCAGAAATTGAAGGCTGGAAGCTGAAACCTGCCTCCAGACCTGACTTTGTGGTTAGAGTATCCGTGCCAACCTTGCACATACTGCATGTACACCAGAATTTGACAACGATTGCGACAGTCATAGCTATCATGTGCAGGAGACTGATTAAATCAACCGGCGAAACGCAGACGAAGAGATCAAAGAAACAGCGTGGATCTGTCTCCTTCCTGGTTGCCGCAATGAAGCTGAGTCGGAGACTATTGGCGGACTGCAGGATTGAGCCGAATGCTGTGCAGGCAAAGGCATGACGTCAAAAGAGCCTCGCGGAAGGAAGGTGGCTTGGGGATGGGTCCTCGAACACATCATTGCAAGCAGAATACTTCACCTCTCGGCACTGTCAGGTTTTAAAGAAAAGCCTACTGAAGTTGAAGCAGACCGCCACCGCCTCTGTGTTGAGATGCAAATAGACTAATTACTAGGTTCAGCTGCCACAGATGAGGCACGAGTCGTGTGCCCGGGAAGCTTGACCGAGCGGTTCATCGCTTGCTGCTGGATTGCACATGGCAGCACATCGCATTTTCCTTTACACCGGGAGAGCTAGAACATGCAGTATGCACCGGCGCCGTGAGGTGGCCGGGCTTCAGCGTACAGTGCGCTGAGCTTGCCCGAGAATTGAAATGCGCCGGTTGTGTTCCTCATTCCATAAATGGCTAAGGACCGCGTTTGAGCGGCGTTTGCTTTCAACTGGACAGCTCAGCCGGAGCCTAAGCACCAAGAGCAAGTCACCAGAGGATCTTGCGCCGGCTCGAATGCGAATCCACCACCACCACCACCACACAAAGGCGCCTACTACTCGCTGGCAGCAGCAACTACTGCTACGACTACGACTACTACCACTACCACTACCATTACGACGACGACGACGACGACTACTACTACTACTACTACTCCTACTCCTACTCCTTCTGCT